GAGCGCCTTATCCACCTGGCCATGCGTCACATATCTGCAGGATATAAATATAGTAGCTATATACATTATACAACCATATACATAACATGCGGCATGTTTATCACCAAGCATCATAGTGATCATACATGCTGTACCATTATCAATGATAACGTTGTGGCAATGATATCAGGAGCAATAGCCATTCAATCTGCATGAAGCCAATCCAAATTCCCAACAGAGCATCATACACCAACTACGTATTTCATTAAACTAAACTGTTTCAAATAGAAAAGTATTGCTATTATACAGATTTATGTCCATGATAGACATAAAAAACTAAAGAAACAAGATGATTAAAATTGTTCATTTAAAAAGGGGAATAGGGATCTTGAAAAAATACAGAAATAAAATAGGTAGCTAGAAGTGAAAATGCAATCGCTAAAAAGTAAACAAATAAGCTTAACGTTTAGTATATAGTGTTGAAATTATTTCCTTAAGTACAAGTCCCTATTTTGACTCCAAGTCTAAAAGCTGTGATATTTAGGAGAGTCGAAATAGGAACTTGTAGCTTGAAGAAATAATCTCAATATAATGCTAAGACACCTGAGTATCATATTTGATACATAACTACATTTATTTGACATGCAGCTAATGCTCATGAATGTGGCAATAGGAACTGGTTGTTTGATTCAACGTATAAGATTACAAGAGAGCTTCATATGAACATCACACGTGACTCTCAAAGCACATGTGAATGATGCTAGGTTAAGTGGACTGGACTTGGTAGTTTTTTTATCAATTAATCCAAAAGCATCCGCCCAATGATAGGGCATGTTATAACAGTGGGGTTATTTTGGTGAGAATAAAATAGCACTTTGACTAAAGTTCAAGATGACAACCTGATCACGAAGCAAGGTCGCATCCTTGCTAGAAATGATGTAACAGCTAAAAGTAGGTCCATAAGAACGAGACAAAAATTAAAAGAAGATCAGTAATAAGTTTGATTGAAGACAAGATCAAGAATCTATTGGAGATGTACAGAGGTATTACAACAGCAAGACTGAAGAAGTAAAAAGGACACCAACAAAGTAAAAAACAATGTAAAACAGGAAATCTATAATGTGCAGCAAAATTATAAAAACAGGTTCAATGAGGTAGAAAAACGTAATTGACAGAATATAATGTTTTGGAAAGGAATTGCAAAGATCAAACCAGTCACATCTCTTTTTGCATCTGCTCAAAAAATTTCAACCTAAATCACCATTTACTATTAAATATGGAATAGGAGAACCTATTTTGTCTACACTGTTACCACTACTGCTCATAGCCTGGTGGTTAGGGCACTCGACTCCCAATCAGAGGGTCGCGGGTTCGAATCCCCGTCACACCAAACATTTGATTCAACGTATAAGATTACAAGAGAGCCAGGGGCGGATTGGCCTATCAATTTTGGGCCGATCCACATAAAAG